CACTACGGATTTATAATTCATTAATATAGATGCTGAACATGAATAGATTGAAATCGATTTTTTAAAGTTTTTATTATTTTCGATCTTTTTCTTTCGGCCAATGAAATCTGAAAAAAAACCTTACAAAGAGCTTCAATAATATTTTTCTGTATAATACAAAAAGTATACTTATACGCGTTATTGAATTGCGTAGTTTCCAGGTACTAGTATTTAAGAAAAGCACTCCAAACTACGTGTGAATTTTAAAATAACTAAATGAGAAAAAAAAAACCCAATAGCAAGTAAAAACCGGGTATAAAAGTTAAGGTTGCATGACTCCGAACATGAAAAGAAAGATGTCTCTTGCGGTGTTTAAGGGATGGTCTTCCATCATACCAGCGAGCCGACTTGTCGCTACTTGTTTAACAAATCACTTTCTGTGGATAATTATTTTTCATACTCCACAACCCCCCCCCCCTTTTTTTTTTTTACATTCGACACATGTATATATTATATTTTATTGAATTTCTTTTTTAAATCTCTCTGTTGTTCGACAATACCTGAATTGCGGAAAAATAAATTCATTAACTGATTTATTATCTAGCAGATACATGTAGTAGCTCCTCCTTTAACTACATGTAGCTTGTTTGACTCGGAAGTCCAATGCCTGATGCGTTTTTGCACCTTTCGAACTCTGAAAACATCGACTGATAAACTGTATATTAAACAAACAGGGAACTCGTGTTCTAACAATTAAAGCATTTCTTTTAGTAAAGGAATGTCGTTAATAACGATAATTGTTTGTTGTTATCGACATCGAAATATTAATATTTTATTTTGAATTCTTCGCATCGTGACTTTGCTATTACATGTAAATGAGAACATTAAATTTAACAGCAAAAAAAAAAAAAAAAAAAAAAATCAGACATTGTAATTATTGCTGTTTTTGTAATCATTTTCCACGGGTTCATTAAACCTTAAGTTTTATTGGAAAATACATTGTTTTGAAGGCATTGAAATAGACAAAAACCTCAAAGAAACCCGTAAAATTTATTAACTTGACAATGCATGTATGCCAGTAAGCAAAAAAAAAAAAAAAAAAAAAATCATTGTAATTATTGCTGTTTTTGTAATCATTTTCCACGGTTCATTAAACCTTAAGTTTTTATTGGAAAATACATCGTTTTGAAACCAATGAAGTAGACAAAAAGCTCAAAGAAACCCGTAAAATTTATTAACTTGACAATACATATATACCAGCAAGCTCTTGAAAAGCTTTATTAAAAGAAAAATAAGTAACTTCAGGTGCCTGTATATGTAACTGTTAAAAAAACTGGGGGTCACAAAGAAATAAATACACCAACTAAACTCAGAAGAAGAAAGCTTCAGTATCAAGTCCCTATGAAAATTATAACGTAGATTTCAAATTACGTGGTCAGTTCGAGTTATCGGGTGGACATTTAAATGACTTGCAGTTTAATAGGCAGAAAAGATTAGCTGATATTTAATTTTTCTGTCAGCGTAAAGTATTTTTTAGACTTAGCTAGGGTAATGAAGTTATGTTTTAAATCCCCTCTTATCGGAATCGCGGATATTTTGTTGGAAGGCACAAAGAACGGGGGGTTGGAAAAAAGAAAATATCTTGTTTAATAATATGATTGGACTGAAAATGTAAGAAAAGTTTGGGATTTTTTTTAAAACAAAAAGTATCATTTTTGAACCGCCACCAACGCCGGTTGAAAACTAAAATTCTAAAATCTTAAGTTATTGAATATCTACGGGCCTAGAACACCATACAAAGACGATCTGACTTTTAGTTATATCTATGGAACATGATTTTATATAAAAATCTACAGGTCAATCCCAACCATGTACTGTGTAAAAAATATTAAAAAAAAATTAATTAAAAAAAAGTTTTCAACTCTCATATGTATGGAATGCCATATACGACAGCCAACTGCTTACTGCCAACTGCTGACTGCTTACTGCCAACTGTCAGCTGCTTACTGCCAACTGCCACATATATTTGAGTAAATTTCATATTTGCATTGATATTTATATGAATTTTCACAAAAAAAGGAAAAAAGGGCACGGATCCAGGACATTTTTTCCCTGGTAAAATTGAATAGAATAGAATGACCAATATGTTTTATCTTATGTAATATTCAATATATGCGGTTGATAAAGTACCTTGTTTATTTTTTTTTTATTTGTTTTCCTATTTGAAATAGGAAATAAAATGACTATTTTCTGCTTTTAATCTTTAAAGACCCCCCCCCCCCCCTCCCCCGGAGACAACAAAACCTTTGAAGAGAGAATAATAATAAAAAAGATTTGTCGTTTCGCAGAGCAAGATGTTTTGAAAATAAATTTCCGTTTTCCAATATATTCTATAGTTAAAAATTTCCTCAAATTAAAGATGTATATCTCTGTGTGTTATATAATCAAATGTTTCGCATGCATAGATCGGGGGGGGGGGCATTTAAAATTTGTACAGTCATACGTTAAATAAACTAAACGAACTACCGGTATAACTGACCTTGGACCCTCCACTTAGAAAACGCCGATCAAAGATTTATATCTCTTTGTTTGTACAAATAAAATATGTTTTACATGCATAGATCTAGAGAGAGGGGTCCGGAACACCCCTCTGAAATTTGTAAAGTTATTTAATGCACAAACTAAACCAAATAAAAGTTATTTAATGTATAAAATAAATGTATAAATGTATAAAATAAATCAACTAAAAGGGACCTTAGAACCCCCCTCCCTCCCCAACCGAAAATGTGGATTCGTGTTAAGTTGGTATGAAAAATGTCATACACATGAAGGTATGGCGCATAAGAACCCCCTCTCCCCGGCCGAAATAAATTTTCTCATTTAGGAAAGGACTTTACGTATTTTTTTCTTGTCAAGAAATTTCTGGGTTGGATTTTTTTTTTACCAGAGTGACCCTCTTGAAAAAATGTCCTATAGATCCGCGCCTTTTTTTTTAAAAATTATTTTACATAAATATCAATATAAAAATAGAATTTATTCAAATATGTGTGGCAGTTGGCAGTAAGCAGCTGACAGTTGGCAGTAAGCAGTCAGCAGTTGGCAGTAAGCAGTTGGCTGTCGTATATGGCATTCCATACATATGGCCGCTAGGGTGAAAATGAAAATCCTGAAACCTAATAATAATAATTGATATTCGGACACTAACAATAAAATTCCAAAAGATAGCTTGGTTACTGCATAAAATCTAAGAAGAGTTCAGAGAGAGAGAGAAAAAAAAATTATATTTGCCCTAAATCGCCCCAGTGCAAAACTTTATGTAATCATAAATAAAAATGGATTTTCAAACTTTTCTAAAAATTAGAGGGCTTAATATGGAAGTAAATATCTTGAATGTATATGTAATGTAAATGTTTGATCTCTCTCTCTCTCTCTCTCTGAAAATATATTAAAAAAAAATAAAAATGTAAAAAATAATTTTTAAAAAAGGGAAATGCTTTCTTTCATCGTCGGAACACAGAAAGGATTAAAAATGAAGATTATTAGAGCGTTTTTCCTTATCAATATGGTTTCATGAAATTGTCTATTTTGTCTCTCCTATATCGAACTGGAAATTCGGGCCGTTGATCCAATGGAGACGTATCCGTTTTTGTCCGATGATCAGATTTTGAGGTGAACTAGCTACAACTAAACATGGCGACGACGGTGTTAAGACTTCGGAGATCGCTCCGATTATGTGGTGTGCAGGCTGTTAGATCAACATGTCAGGTGTATATTTCAACAGTTTTTGATTTATTATTTTCATATTTGATCATACTTTTATTATTTTGCATGCTTTGTTCATGCAAAGTGCCTTAAAAGTTGCACGCCAACTAAGCTATGCAAATGTCCTTCAACTTTGTGTAGAAACTAAGTCAGTAAGTGCACTATCCGGCCGCATAAAAAAAATATTTCGCTTATTAGCATGATTAGGAGCTGTAGACTTGTTTTATGTTGTTATGTTCATTGAAACTTTGTAGACGTAATTGTTTGTGAAAATGCTAGAAAAATATAAAAGCTGTACTGAAAACAAATAAATGACAATCCACCTCTGTCAGTGTCAGCAAATGATGTGATGGAAATGACCTGATTTATTCTTATTAGTTCTATATATTTAAGGAAAATAAAACATATTTAATGTTAAACTTTATAAAATTTGAATATTTGCAGCAATTCCATTTCATTTAAAATATCAGGTCTGTAAAGTAAAAATATCAGGTCATTCAAAATATCAGGTCATCAAGTTTTGTGAATATACCTTAATACAATTCAAAAAATCTGCTTAGTATCCACTAAAAATGTATTTTAGTATTGTATAAGTTACTATCATTTATACTCTTGCCCCAGAATATGAAATGTAATGTTTAAATTGATAATTAATATGACATTTTTTCATCAGGTCAAGTATCAGGTTTTTAGTATATCAGGTCTTTAGTACGTTCCGCCTGTGGCACGTTGGCATCTGTTCTATTTTCTATTTATACATATGTAAAAAACAAATAAATTAATAAGCAGATAAAATAGAAGTACTCTAGCATACAATTTGTAAACGAAATAGAAAAAACACACACTACGTAAAGGTCTAGTACCTCAGGCATGTAGCAAACAATAATGTAAGCCTATTTTATACTTTGCTAAGCAAAATATAAAAAATAAGCCTACATTAACAGGGTTTTAAACTAACTTGTAATCCTTGATCGCCATGTGGGCTACTAAACCTTGCAATTCTGGGGCCCACATCAAAATTTATTCGCCCACAAATTATCACACCTTCTATTGAATAAAAATACAACAACCAAATTTTTCGTTTGTTTTTTTTTTTATCATATGCTTTGTGTTTCTTTTCTATCCGTAGAAACATTGTGCACGACTTATCTAAATTTGAAGTTGGAACTCTTTTGTTTAAAAAGATTGATATGGTTATTAAACATGATCATATATTCAAGCACATGGCAGGTTTTTTCATAGATACAACAAAGATACTTTCTGGTTTGTTGGGCTCATTGACGCTTCGATGCCACATTGTGTCCGTCACAATCACTCAGACACTTTATGTATAAGTACTTCTCACTGGTAAATATAAAGCACTTATTACTGATTACAAAAGTTTTGAAGAGAAAGATACGGAACATTCGCACAAGATTGAAAAACAAATATTTATTATCGTAAATTTTCTAATCGCCATGTGGACTACTTGAACTTAATTCTAAGTCGCCCACAAGAAAATATTGGTCGCAAATTGCGAGTGGGCGACTGTTAATTTCAAACCCTGATTAACGTCATAATCAAATAATGTTGGGAAAATTACACTTCAAAGTAGCTGTAGAACTGTAGCTCTCTGCTTGAGAAAATTCTGACAAATAAAGCAGAGAGCTACAGGTCTAAGCATTGTAAAAGCCTTCAGTTTACTCCGACAATTTTTTGTCTCTCACTTCGGGTATTTTTCTTGTATTTTATACTTTCCCCAGCTTTAAAAATGGTATTTAGTACTTAATCATACATTTAACTTCAATTCCTGATAATATACTTACCTGTCAATGCTAACAAATGGCTGTTTGTGGTTACGAACGTTGAAATGGAACTCTTTTAAATTGACATTACGAAACTGTATACAGGGCTTTTTCGGACCGTTGAAAGGTAAATAAAGTATCAATAATTGGAGTAAAATATATGATTAATTATCGAATACCATTCTAAGAGTGTAAAAAAGCATAAACTACAATAAATATTACCTGAAGTGAGCGACAAAAAATCGTCGGCGTAAATCGAAGGTTTTTACAAGGCATGGAACTGTAGCTCTCTGCTTTATCTGTCCAAATTTTTTCAAGCAGAGAGCTACAGTTCTGCAGCTAATTTCAAAGTAAATCAGTTTGAGGCATGGATTTTTCAGACTTTTCAAAAATATTTTTTGTCTTTAAAAATGCTGATACAGGATCTAAATAATAATATAGGACAAGGATGCCATACCAACATTTCTGAAACAAGTTTTACAGCAAAAATAAAGCCTGAAACTCTATGATTATCACCAATATAGGCATTCATCTCTATGTTTGTAATTCAGTCACTATATTATCAATTCTCAATGTTCCCAATTAAATATAATGATTTTGTATTTTTGTAGCCTGCAGAATGTAAGAGAAGCATTTACACCACTGCACCGAAGCTGAAAAACCTCTACTGGAATGACAAGTATAATGAAGGAGAAGAGGTAAAAACTGGTAGAAATGTACAAACGTTTTATAATGAGATATGCTATGCTAAAAGTAGTTATTAGCAATTCAGTGGCTTCATGCTTCCCTTGGGACATGAAGAGAATAGGTAAGCAAGTGCTAGCATTTCATTGGCCTCATGCTTCCCATGGTGCATGGAGAATGGAGAGTGTAAGCAAGCAAGTATAGGCATTTGTTGGCCTCATGCTTCCCTTGGGGCATAGGGAGTATAAGTAAACAAGTGCATTTCAAGATTTTGACAGAAAAGTATGTAGCTGCTAATGAAACAACATGTATCTTTATTAAATTTCTGCTTAATTTGTAGAGATGAACTAAATTTCAATGAATCACTTTTTAAAAGACTTTGTTTAAAACACAAGATCAAGATATTATCAATCTCTTCATCTTTGAAGGTTTTTGAGAAAATACTCATCGCAAACCGTGGAGAAATAGCCTGTCGTGTGATTCATACATGTAAGAGACTGGGAATCAAAACTGTAGCAGTTCATAGTGAGGCAGATTCATTGTCTGTAAGTATATGAACATTTAAGTAATGCTTAATTTGATAGGACAAAAAATTATTTCATCCTTATTTAGAGTGGCACTATGGTACTGAGCCTGCTACTGAGTAAACTGAGGTAGCCCTGAGTAGCACTGAGATTTTCACTGTGGACACTGTAGAAATACTGAGAGGCACTGAGGTTTAATTTACTCTGTTGGCACCGTGATTGTAAATAGTAAAAAAAAAAGGGATAATGACACTCATTGTAGTACATGTATATGTATGATATTTAAAATGAAATGCATTTTGCAATGAAATGAAGACAAAACTGTTATTTTGTCAAAATAGAAGTAGATTTTCAGGTAATTAGTTATTTCTTGGGAAGTGACACATGTATACGTGTATCTTATGTACACCAGTGACAGACCATTTCATTTTCATTCTATTCTAGCTTCACACCCGATTGGCTGATGAAGCCATCTGTGTGGGCCCGCCTCCCACCAGCCAGAGTTATCTCAACATGGACGCCATTCTCCGTGCTGTCAAAGATACAGGAGCGCAAGCTGTAAGTACCCATTTAAAAAAAATTAATAAGAAATTATGGTTGTCTCACCCTTACCACAGAACATTCTACATGTATTATCTTAATTTTTTAAATTTTCAGGTGCATCCAGGATATGGGTTCCTCTCAGAAAATACAGTTTTTGCAGCAAAATTGGTAGAATCTTTAAAATTTCTCATCCCATAAAGGCAATTCAATTTAATACTGAAATTTGAAATCTCAGAAAACATGAAAAGGAATTATACATGTGTTTTTTTCACATGTTAATGTGTCTATATATAGGCAGAAATAGGAGTAGAATTCATTGGTCCTAGCAGTCACTCTATTAAAGCCATGGGAGACAAGATAGAAAGTAAGAGAATTGCCAGCAAAGCTAAGGTCAACATGATCCCAGGCCATGATGGAGTGGTGGAAGATGGAGAACACTGTGTCAAGCTGGCCAATGAAATTGGTTTGTACATGTTTAAGGTGTGAAACAGGCCAATGAAATTGGTTTGTTTATGTTTTAGTTTTGGTTTGTTTATGTTTAAGGTGTGAAACTGGCCAATGAAATTGGTTTGTACTTACGGGTTGGTGTAATTGGTTTATAAGATATAGTAAAACATAAGTATCTTGAACTTTGATGTTTCAAATATCATGGATATATGGAAGTCAATGTGAAGCTCTACAACTTTTTCTTTGAATATTTTATCTTCAATATCTCGATTCTTTGGATATCACTAAGTTTTTCTTGGTCTGATTGAGTTTGAAATAACAAGGTATGACTGCATGTATTTTGGTTTGTGGTCTGTTTGTTTATGTGAGTGTTGTCACTCTTTCAAATGAAATATTTTTCTGACATTTTCATTACATTAAAGTACATGTACTTAACAGAGAAGTGAATAACAAAAGATCACTAATCCTTAAGCTCTTTTTTAAGTGCCAATAATTTGTCAAAACTTCTCAGTGTACTTGCAGGACACTTATGTGTCCCTTCAAATTTCCACTTAATGTGACTTGCATGTTCCTTCAAATTCCCACTTCCCATGTAGGGTAGTGAAAAAATTAAAATAGCTGTTTATACTAGATAGAGCTGCTACAGAGTGCCTCAGCTACTAATCAG